TAAAATTTTGTAGCAGAATAAAAATAAACTAAAATTAATGTTTTAGGCTATTTAGGAATCATATTACAAATATCGGCAAATTATCTTATTGAATGATGATACCAAGCTTAAGTAAAGGATAAATCATTCTAAAGAACTTAAAAGTTTTAATTTAATTACAGTAAATTAATTTATATATAACTATAAATGGCATAAATTCTCTAGAGTAAATCTCAAATAATTACTGGAATCGTTAAGTAAAATATTAAAAAATGTTTAAAAAAATTTTTTATGTACTTTTTAGTCCATTCCTATGTGGTTTTAGTAATTTCTTATGAATCTAAAAGAAACATTGCTTTTAATATTGGTCACAGAATATCCAAAGTAAAAAGTTTTTAAAAAGTTTTGTGATATAGAGAATTTAGTGGTTCATTGAATTTTATGAGAGAAAACACATGATTCATTTACCAGAAATCATTATTAAAATAAAACAATAAATCAAATATACAGTCATCACATGGGAGGAATCTCATAATTACAATTAGAGCGGTCCTTAGAGTATACTAAAAATGTTGGAATTTATCTGAGAAATGATAGTTCCTATCATTTTTTATGAAAAAGTTCAGCCATGTTTACTCAAATACATTTGGATCTTATGAATATTTTGTTCCTGAAGGAACTAATTCTGTAACTATTTTCTAATTTAATCATGTATTTTAGTTCACTGGCCCAAGCCATGGCTAAAAGTTTCAAGTAGCATTGCTCTAATCTAGTAGCTACCTTACCATTTACATGATTTTCTAAGTTTCTGTATATATATATAAAAAAAAAACATTAGATTACATTATAATTTAAATGTTTTGTAAATAATCATTTCTATTTGTATAAACTATATACACTTATAAGGTTTTTTATAATATTGGTCAATATGAAATTACATTGTTATGGTTGCTCAAAATATTTTATAATATTTCAAAATTACAACATTTGCTATGATAGGAATTTTTATACAATATCTCATTTGATTTTGATATTTGCAACCTTATTTAATGTATACCATACTTATTTTAAAGAAAATTGAGTTGCAGAGAAACTATAATATAGACCTAGAATCGAACCTCAATTACTCGCTTCAAAGCCCAGAATTTTAACCATTGCAAATTGTATAGTATCTTACTATTGATAGTAGAATTTGGGGTAGAAAAAAATAGGTAACAGTATTTCTGTCTAGGGTTCAAAGATTAAGAACGGCTCTAAATAATTTCATTTAAACCTAAACAAATATTACTCTAATCATTTTAAACCTACAATAATCTCTGTAATCGAGTACTCCAAAAAAGTATTCCAAAAGAGAGGCTTGTTTATAGAACGTTCCTTAGTATAACAAGAAGTTCAATGTACTTGTTTTAATTTTTTAAGACTACACCAAAACAAGTTTTAAATTGAAATTTTTAAAGTATAATTTAATGACTATATTATTGTTTGGTATTCTAGATGTCTATAATTTCTTTCTATTATATATTTACCTCCATATATTCTGATTGGATGGAAATTCACACATAAATTAAAAATTAATTTTTTTTTTTTTACAGAAGTCTCGTAATTAGTGTTCTTTTCTATACCTATCATTATTCTTTGCTTTCTAAATTTAGGTACTTTAAGCAAGAAGTATATTATTACAGATATCAATGTCTTGTCAATTTCTTAAGAAGGAAAAATAACAAAGAATAAAATTTAATACAAATTAGCAAGTGATATAAATTAGCTATTTTAATATGTAAGAGCTGTATTATTAAGAAAACCAAGTGTGGAAGATACAAATTTTACATGCTCTAAATACCTAAATTTGAAAGAAGATTGAGGACAAACTACAATTCTTTTTTCCTGAAGATAAACATGAGTGGAAAAGCTGTTGAATAGAATGTGCTGTGTAGCCTGAACTTTTATGTACTCAGTGCATAATGCGTTTGGCCCTTCTTTGCCTCAGGTGAATAAAACTGATTGTAATTTTGTAGTATAAAGCCGAAGGTTAAAGTATAATTATAATAGCAATACTTAATTACTCATGATGATATCAAGGTACTGAAGAGTAATAAATAAGCCGAAGTATGTCTAATATCTTGCCTATTAGAGAGGGAAAAGAGTTAGAAACTTATATCGAGTTAACAAAAGTAGTTCAACTAGAAAATTTGAAAAAGTAGATATACTTAATCAATTTTTCTCTCTGTCTCTCTGCCTGTCTCTCTGTCTGTCTGTCTGTCTATCTCTTTCAAGCATATCAGTCCATGTCTGAAGTAATGTTACCTAACTACTTGTATCTTTGCTTATATATCAGTCAGGCTGGTGTTAGACTAATAACTGTCTAACCATGTAATTCTACAGAATAAATTACCTAACACTTCTATTTTCTGATGAACTTGATTCAATAGTAGTGGGAGTGTACGCTATTTCACTTCAGTTTTACTTTAAAGCAGACAGAGCCTAGGTGGTACCCAGGCATACCCATTGCATGACATCTCTAGGCTTAGGGTCTGTAGAAGTCATAATAATGGATTTTCAGGTTTAGAGAGGGAGAAGGAAAACATGTGCTGTCCCCTAGGTCCTCCAGTGGACATTTTTGGGACTGTTTGCTCCTTGCAGAAACTCCTCTCTGTAGTACACAGGGCTACTGAAAAAAAGGATAAAGATTCTTGATAAATCAGATAGATTCACAACTACGTTATGGCATAGAATCAGAAAAGGGGCAAATATATGCATATACATATATTTGCATATACATATACACATACATATATGCATATCTATCTTAGCAACCATATAGTGTAATTTTAAAATCATTTCTATTCTATCTGTCAGACTGGCAAATGATATTGACATTGAATAATTTTTAGTGAATTTTATATAGGACATAACTTTTGAAAAAAGATAACTTAATCTTTGAGTTGTATTTTTTAATAGATTCATAATATTATATGAACAAAACTGGAATTTAACACTATGGTTTTCCTGTCCCAATTTTAAATGGGCTTGCAAAACCATAGAATCAACAGAGATTCTCCTAGAGCTTTATAAAGGTGGGAAGGAGAGTGTCAGATGGTAGTGGTGAGACTAAGTTAGAAATCAAGGTCTCTGGGTTCCTACCAGTGCTGTTATAGTTACTCTGTCTGTTGATCTTCCATATAAGAATTCGAGTGAAGAACGGGTTAGGCTTCTGAAATTAAAAACTGATGATTTTGTCTTACCATCTTATTTTACACATGAGAAAATTGAGATACAGAGAGATTAAAAGGTTTAGCCATGATCACCTGGTAAGAAAGTAGCAAATCAGTTTTTGGTTTAATCTCTAACCTACTAATCTCAATTACTTCAGGTTGGATTCTTATATTTTATTGCTACCTTACTTTATAACTTCCAAATGAGAGTTGGGAGGAGGTGGTCTATGACATGGGTATTCAGCAAAATATTACTTAATAAGCTATCCTGAATATGATTATGTGTGCATAGTATACAAGACAACAGAAAGATATTCTGTGGTTAGCAATTACTCTGGTTGTTTAAAAGATTATATTTCAAGAAAATTTTAAGGTGCTATACAAGTATACATTCCAAGAAAATTCTTCTTGATAATAGCCAGTCCTTATTATCAGCTTTAAGTAATTTGTTCCATCGTATTGTGATGACCTTGGCCAAAGCCATACAAGGTAGCACGTTTCATAATGTTAGAGAGTGAGGAAAGCTGTTCTTCACACTCCACCCCAGACAATTAAAAAGCCAACCCCACCTGCTCAATGAGGCACAGAATTTCACAGGAAAAAATAAACCATTTGTTTAGACTTATGTGTTTTTCTTTCACATTTGAAAAATCATATGACACTCATGACTATTCAAGCTTCTTAACCACCAAGACCTCAGTGTGAATGAACTCTTTACATCTTGATTTACATTGGAAGCACAGGTAGAGGAAGTTCATGAAGGATAAACAAGAATAAAAAAGAAATAAAATTGCCATGGAAAAAAATTTTGTAACATTTATCTTTTCTGTTTTGGGAAAAAAGTCTAATTTTTCTTATTTTCTCACCATTAATTACTTAGTTATATTCTTGAAATATTCTTGAAAAGTAATATTCTTGAAAAAACTAAATGGTTCTTCAAGTACAAAAAATACTAATAAAATCATAAGATCACTGTGTGGCAGCAAAGCTGTGGAGGGAAAATCTGAAACCATATATAATTTTTTAAAATTACATTTACAATTTTGACAAAAATATTCTGTGCATGATTCTTTCTTGTCTGTAGCCTCCATTCTGTTGGCATTTATGTTTTACTTGGCCATGGACATTTTGAAGTAGGGAATATTTGATTATAAGCTACAAAGCACATTTTGCCTGTTCATCAATATCGAGTCAACCCATTTAAAAAATGCTATTACAACCAAAATAGCTCAAATGAGTATATTTTCCAATACTAGTCAAAATAAGAAATTCTTATTAATTTTGTTATAAGAGGATCCACTTATTACACAAATTATTTTCTTCTAATCTTTATGAAATAACTTCAGTAAAAAAAAAATACCAAAAAAGATTGACTATGTGAAATACATACTGGCACAAACTAGTTTATTTCAGTAGAATTAACATGAATCAATTGCCCATGATAATATGAATAATATTGCAATTGAATATATACAAAAATATTTGAGACTAGTAACAAAGCAATGCTTATTATTAAAACCAGGCATCCTCTACATTCTATATTTTCTTCAAATTCTTTGCACATTTAGTCTATTTAAAAGTCAATTATTAATAATAAAATTGGAATTAAAGTATATTTCTTTAAAATATTTCAGTGTTTCAACACTGTTTATAAGAAACAATTCAGGCGTAAGCTCAGTATTCATGAAAATGGGATTTTCTTTTGACAGTGATAATAATTTTGGTGATATTAGAGAGTATTCTAGTATTGATTTTCTGGTAATGTATCTTCCCAATTTACCCATTTTTTTTTTTTTAAACAGATATCTGACAAATGAGTAGAAGAATTCGTTCTTTCTGAGACTCATCAGATCACTTCCTATAAAATCCATATCTTGCCGTTTATTTGTGAATAAGGTATGGTAAAGATAACATCTGTTACCATACTTGCTTAGCACTTAGAGAAGATATCAGTTCACACACATTTAGTCTGCAGGGAGTGGATAACTGTGTTTGGGTAGAGAAGCCAGATAAAGGGTGAAGATGCAACCAAGTAAGTGTCCCAGGCTGAGGAAAAGTAGGCAAGGGTGAGAGCACAGTAAGCATGTTCTTCTGGAATAAGATTGTAATAGGTTGATCATCCATAGGAAGAAAGTTTAAAAGAGGAGAACTTTAAAGAACTACTTTATGTGATAATATTTTTTATTTCTACCATTGGTAGGTTGTAAAAAGCAAGAAAGGGGAGGATATGATATAATCTAGAAGGTCAGTTTCTTAAAACAGCAAAAGAAAAAAAAAGCATTTGTTTACTGATAACTGGCAAAATGACCTGTTTCATATATGTGTTTTCTTTGTACTTTGGTCTGTTTGTATTGATATTTAAGCTTCTGTTTTATGATCTCTTTCTAATGATAGAACCATACTTCTTGGAAACCACATTAGTTGGACCTGGGATTTTGAAAGAAGCGAGTTGAACCTTAATTTCCCCCTGAACAAGAAAAATGGGCTGCGATCGAAACAATGGGCTCATCGCTGGTGCTGTCATTGGTGCAATTCTGGCTGTGTTTGGAGGTATTCTAATGCCAGTTGGGGACATGATTATTGAGAAGACAATAATAAAGGTATAAGTAGTCCAAAGGATATATCTTGTCATTCTCATTCGTTTTGTTTTCTGTCCCATATTCGTTTTGGGTAGCTGTTTGATATTTCATGAAAACTGTTGACTTTTATATTGAAGTCACTTTTATGACTTCAATATAAAAGTGATTATGAACAATTGCAACTGTACATAATAGAGAAACATGAAAAGTATAATGTTTATTTGATACGAATGCATTGTTATCTTAAGCACGAATATCCAAATTCTGATAAAAGCTATTTAGAGTTATATAGATTAATTAAAATGTTTATGTCTAAAGAGTAAGCTGATATACTTTTGAATAAAAAATAGGTAAATATGTTTTGTGAGGGAACATGTATAAAAGTAGTTGTACTTTGGTAAATACTAAAAATAGTAAATGCGTATCATATATACTATAGATTATAAATATATAAGTACATATTATATATAGTCACTTAAACATTTGTGTTTAA